ATTGTATCTGTGTATTCAAAGTGGTTTGGATAGATATATAGTTACATTCTCTTAATGAATAGAATGATTTGTTCTAATGGTGTTTGTGAATAGGATGTCAAGTCCACATCTTGTACAGCAATTAACCACTAGGAAGAATGTATGCAGTGTGTTAATTATTGAAACTGTCCTAGCAATTTGAAAAAAAAAAATTCATTCATGGGCTTAGGAGATGGTCCAGCAGTCTAAGCACCTGCCTGGCAAGCTCAAGGATCCAGGTTTGACCCGCAGTACCTCATGCCTTGCCAGCCCTGGGCACTGAGCCAACCACCGAAACCGGCACACCTGTAATCCCAACGCTGGGAAGGCTGTGACAGGAGGATCACTATGAGTGTGAGCTGCGTAGCAAGACCCTATTCCAAATAAATAAATAAATAAATAAATAAATAAATAAATAAATAAATTTTTAACAAGAAAAATCTATTCATCAGTTGAGGAACATTGAATTGTTACCACTTGCTAGCTATTACAGATAATGCCGCCACAGGCATTTCTGTACAAGTTTCTGTGTGAATATATTTTTCTTTTACTCTTGAAGATACGTGGAGGGGTGGAATTGCTGGGCATTACTGAAAGCTGTTGAGTTGTCTTGAAGCACGTTCTGTCTCAGGGTACATGTCTATAGGCATATACAGTCAACCTCCTTTGCATTAAAGTCACTTGAAATATTTTAATCTGTGTGGTCATACCCTAACTCCACTCACCTCTCATGTGATTTTGTGAACCAGCCTTTGTCATCACACAAGGTGAAGCTGGATCCTTTCTAGAGAGAACAATTGCTCCTTACTTGCCCAAGGCCTTTGCAGCAGCTCCTCAGCCAACATTACGGTGCCCCTGCATGTTTAGAATTCTCTGTTCTCCGAACACTTGCCCAACACTGTCTCACCATGTTCCTCCAACAAGCCTGTGGGCAGTGGGCACAGGGAGTGGTGACAGGGCCCAGGGGACACCTGTGTTTCCCCAGGCTTGGATGAGCTTCTGTCTTCCCACTAGGGCCTGTGGGCTGTGGGCACAGGGAGCGGTGGCAGGGCCCAATGGACACCCGTGTTTCCCCAGGCTTGGATGAGCTTCTGTCTTCCCACTAGGCTTCACAATCCTCATTTCCTCCCTGCTTCCTCCTCAGAAAACACCCATTTTGGGTTCTCATGTCTAACCAGCCACCACCTCTCACTCTTACAGTCTTAGTCATTTATGTACTTATTTATGTATGTTTTGTTTCCTTTTGAGATGGGGTCTCACATGTCATTCAGGCTGACCTTGAACTCACTATGTAGCCCAGATTGGGCTTGAATTCTTGACAAGAATCCTGCCTCAGCCTCTTGAGTGCTAGGACTCCAGACCTGTGCCATGCCTGGCTTCACTGTTGGCCTTTACTTAGACTGGGGCGAAGCTCCTTTTCCTTGGGGACTGATTCCCTTGGCACGGTATCACTTTCCATAGCACAGTGCATGTCACAGTTCCTTGTGATTCCAATATGCCCACAGCTAGTGCCTTGGTGCGCTGAGCCCCCCAGTTCTACGTCATCTTCCAAGTCAGCTATGTCACTGCCAGGAGCCCTAAGCGCGCCGAAGCCTGTCTTGCACACCCCACCGTCCACCACTTTCTCCTCCCTTCTATTTTATTCTCTTGAGGACTCCAGCTGCAACAGTGCTTGCAGCTCCCATGCAGATCCTCCGATCCATTTCACCGTCCATGTTTCCCATTCCCTACTTTCCTCATGTCTTCACGTCTATTAAGCCTCACACTTCAAAACCCACAGACACTCATGGGGTTTTGTTTCGTTTAACTGAGCTAGCACCGGGCTTTCCATTGCTCTACCTGCTTGTGGAACAAATGTACACGACCTGTCTGACTCATCTTACCACACACTTGTGACCTCCAACAACCTCAAGTTGGCCTTGATGCAGCCCTGAAGCCATCTGTTATCTGCATCCTCCATCTGTGTTTCCTCTCTGGTAAGCAGCAGTTTCCTGCTTCCTCTTTCTTTAAACCCAGAGCCTCCTCCCTGTTTTCACCTTTAATTGGTAACCTCCTCTCCCGTTTCATTGACAAAAATGAAGCCATTACAAGGAACACCTATGAGTGCCCATCAATGTACCTGCCCCCCTACATCTGTGCCTGTCTAGTCTGCCTTCCTTCCTGTTAGGATGGGTGAATTGTCCAGGGCTCTAGTTTGGCCCATCCCCTCTAAGCATGCTCCAAATGCATCTTCCTCTCCCATCCATTCAAGGTATTGTTTCAGCCAGTCCCATTGACCATCATCAAATTGTCTTTCTCTTTTGCTCTTTTCTCCAAAGAGTTCCCTTCCAGAGAAAGGGGAGAAAACTGTCTCAACCGTGCTGTCTTGTCCAGTACTGTTCCTTTCTCTTCTACTTCTTCACAACGAAATGCCTAGGGAAGAGTGGTCAGACGTACTGTCTCCAATTTGGTCTCTCTTATAAATCACAGTATAAATAAATAATAGGATGACATAGAGCAATGATTTCCTCACAATGATATAACGTTACATGCACTGCTGAGCAAAATCAGTCAGACACAGGAAAAAGCATGTAGCTGGGCTCTATGGACAATAAAGTTTACAAATCAATAGGAGAGGGCTGGTGAGATGGCTCAGTGGTCTAAAGCACCTACTTAGAACAAGCTTAGCAAAGCGCAGGGACTGCAGTTCAATCCCCCAGCACCACATGCCAGCCAGCCCCGCCCTCTGGTGGGCTGAGCTGGCCACACACACACACACACACACACACACAAATAAATAAATAAAAATTTAAAAAATAAATAAATAAAACTGAATACTGACAGGTCAACAATTTCTGACATTGCCAGTGAAGCAGAAGACCCAATACTATTATGGACTACTGAACTCTTTTAGAACATTTTGCTGAGTTAACACCCCTATAATATTCAAATAATGGAACTTAACAAAAAAAAAAAAAAGGCTACAGATAAATGTCCATTTTGTATCTGTGTATTCCAAATGGTTAGGATAGATATATAGTTAC